GGTCAACTGGGGGATTATTCTTTAGCCAGATATTTTTGAAGGGATTCATTTTTTTTTTAAAGAAAACTGAACATGGAAGAAATGCCATGTGAAGATTACATCCTGCTTTTGCCTCTGTATTATTACAGGTTCGATCTTTGCCAGTTCGAGCTGACCTTTGTGTTGTTTGTGTTGCTACTCAACAAATAACCTTTTAATAAAGTCTATCTATCTATCTATCTATCTATCTATCGATCTATCGACTCAGTCGTAAACAGTCACTTGTTTTTTTCTCTGTGTACATCAGTGTTTTGAATGAATCAAATCAGTGAACTGTGATTTATTGACTCACTCTTAAAGACTTGTAATTTGTTTTGCTCCTTGTTTCATTAAATCAGTGTTTTGAACCAATCAGATGAATGAATGAGTCCATGACTTACTCATAAAGACAATCACTTGTCGCCCCCTACTGGTGTAATCATGTACCATGCAGAAAGACTCCACCATTAATGCACAAAATAAAAGCAGTTTTAACGGATTTGTAGTGCTTTTCAACTTACAAACATACATACTTTTAATAATAGAGCGCAAAACCACTTTTTCTAGTCCTTTAGAGATGTTGGATATTGCAAAACTATGCTAATTTGTTCAATGTGTCTGCAACAGCTGTTTAGGTTGCATTCATAATTTGGCCTATTGTTTAAAAAGCAAGTTAAAGAGCTCTTTTCCTTCTCCGCAGATACTGGGGAATAACATTTTTGATTGAAAAGCTAAAGCAAAATGTGTTTACCTTGAAGACAGTGGCAGCCTCCACTAACACAGTTACTGATTCTAGTAGGATCGCAAAGTCTGCAGTTGCCAGAGATTTAGTTGTTGAAATGGTATGCTAATGTCCTAGTTTTCTGGCCCAAATTGCTTTTGACCTTGAGGTTAAATGTAGACATTTGCAGTGCACATATATAAGTATCTTGCCATTTGATAAGAAATTAAGAGATAATGAGCAAGATATGATATGCCAGAGTGCATTTAGACTCGAGGTGTCATACCACACTAATATAGTTTGAAATAGTTACATTTTCACATATTACTGTGATTTAATAGCAACTTATGAGTCACAGTTACAAGATTCGTAGTGACTTGCTACTATATATATATATATAACTATATATATATATATATATATATATATATATATATATCAGTTTGATTGAAATTTAAAAAATATAGAGTAGATATCACAAGTAAATAGAGCGCAACAGTTGTGTTCTGAATGTAAAAACTCAATTAATTTTCTCCATAGGAATTTTTTTTTTTTTTTTTTACAATAACTGATAAAACTTCCAATCATTATGCGCTCCACACTCCTATCCAGTAGGTGGCGGGAATGCACCATTTAAGTTGGTT